GGGGGGGGGGGGGGGGGGGGGGGCGAGGGGAAAGATTCACAGCCTTGAATGATATCCTATAACAGTAAGAGAGGGAGAGAGGAGATCTACTTGCTGTCAGCGCTGCTCTGTGGTTTTCTTGACTAGATTCAGAGAGCCTTCCACATCCAAAAGAGGGATTGCCCAGATGACAGAGCACATACATACCTCATCTGACAGATTCTCGCTGTCCCTGACCTGGCAGATCATTTCTTGCACCTTATGCTATTTTAAAATCACCCTACCCACTTTGCTGTCCAGTACTGCAACGTGATTTATACCAATCCATGCTGACACTTACCAGTGTGCTTTCTGCTGTGCATCTGTAAATGGGACAACTTAAAGTATCGCTTGTTACAGCCAGGGTACGCACACATGAAGGGACGTTTTTCATTTGTCTCATTTGCTGATCGGACAATAGTTGGAGCTACTCCTGGCACCCGTCGGACATCCTACAATGACAGAGACTTGCTAATACAAGGTGTATGTTCTCAAGCTTTTACTTAACATATTCAAAGACAAACAATCAGAGGCACTTCTCCAGGACAAAGAGATACTTAAATATATTACACTGAAAACAGGCAATTTTATTTTATTCTACAATGACGAAGTACAACCTTAGTATACCTTAAGCTGTTCTTTGCAGAACATTAAAATTATTTGAAGGTGAAATACGGTGAACTCTACTTATTAAATTCTCTCACCAATATTTATATGCAAGATTAAATGGGCCACATTCTGACCCCATGTATAATCACACAATCCTGGAAGAACACTCATTGGCATATGAAATAGTTTTAGGCTTTTACCAGTGTAAGAGATAAGAGCCCGAGCCAGAGTAGCCTTCTCCTCCCTATTTTAAGCACTCATATGAAGTTAAAGGACAGGGAAATTAATGTATCGGGTTAATACAAACTGGTAAAAAACAAAACAAGAAAGACCATCTAGGTGGAGCTGGTGAAAAGTTCAGTCTTAATGCATTTTGGCCACTGTCACAATGTTCCATCAAAGATGATCTTCTCCTTCTGAGATAATTAACTTCCTTAAAAATATGAAGGGCTTACTTTTTTTCACTCAACAAAAGCTGGCTCACGAGCCTATTTCTGAGAGCTTGCCACTGAATAATGACTTGTTAAACTATTCAGAAAAGGAGAAAAGATGCTGTCTAAAAACACTGATGTATGTTGAGAACACAGAGCAACACAGAAGAGACAAATATTATCTAATGACTGCCATCAGTTTTAAGAAGGTATATCTTTTACAGTGGTATTTATTGATGATACAACTATTTCAGAAAGGGAGGAAATTAACTCCCATGAATGGTAAGTTCCTTCCAAATATTCAGTAATTGCTTAGTCATTAGGAAACAACCGCTTACTATATTTTGTTTTAAGGAAATATGTTTGAATTAGTAAAGTTTCAGAAATCGGTAAAAGCAAAATGTCATCTAATACTTTCTTGTATATAATTCTCAGACATAGTCTGTCGTAACCACGGAAGCTTCACATGGCCAAAGTGACAGGAGCTAAAAGCTCTAAACTGTATCATATATTTTGGACCATCCTGAGAAGTTGGTACGGAATATTGCCTCACAGATATGTTTTAGAAGAAGAAATAAACAATTTGAAATGACTGTGTCAGAAAGAAATCTTATATTATACTTCAATGGCTTCAGTGAAGTCAGGACACTTAGGTAAAGCATTTCTTGATAACATAGGGAAACCACAAATCAAGGATGTATTTATAGATACCAGTGAAGTAGTAAATGAACATTATAAACAGACAGCAGTTTTACTCCCCTATGAAGAATGTCCTACTATACTCACTTGTATGCCTCTAAAAACTCCATGCGTGTGTATTCTGTATTGGGCCCCACAGCTGTATAACATGGGAGCACTGTGGTTCTCATTTTCATATCCTGCTGTATGGCTGTAAATAAAGAGGGGAATAATGCAGAAATGAAATATTTTTCAGTACTCAGCTCCTTGAGAGGTTTCATTTCTTAAGTCGGTGATAACATATGCAGAGCTCGCTTTTATAGCCAGGGCATCAAAGTTCAAATGAAATCCACCAAAGGAAGCCTGCTCTGCCTTCGTACGGATCTCCTCCCGCTGGCACAATGCACTAACGCCATACATACATCTATTAGTATCCATTAAGACAGTCCAGAAAAAAAAAATTGTCATGATTTGAACTCTGATGTATTTCCACAAAGACTTTAGCTAAGAGGAAAAAATCCACGTAGCAGCATAACTGTGTCATGCGCACATGTACACATTATTTATCAGCTAAATGTGAGGCTGGCTATTGCTAATATCTTTTGGAATGAGCAAAATGCCTCAAGTTTCGCATTAACTGCAGTGGATTTTTGTCAGCACTTCATGACTCAGATATTACCAGATACTACCAAGAAAGTGATGACATTTATAAGAATAGCAGTCATGTACTCATAAACAGAGATTACAAATCAGTGTCCAAACTATTTATCCCACATATCAGCTTGCAGGATGCACTACAAATTAACCCTTTGTAAAAACAAAATAAAAAACCAAACCCGCCTATCCTTGCCAGGTATAAATTTTCAGATTCCTCACGCAGCATCATCACAATATTTTTAAACATCTGTAAAATTGTTGTGTTTTGGGGGTGTCACAACCATATGTTTATCTAATTATATTCTGCAAAATCCTATGTTCTTCTGTCCAGAACGCTTAGGAACTTTGCCGTGTTTCCTGATTGCAACCTTCTTAATGTCAACATTATGAAAATACCTTTTAATTTTTATTTTTAAATGAGTATGCTACACTGGCATGTACATTGCCACATGTATTAATATACATTGGTGACAGTAAGTGTTCATGTTTTACACTGCACTAGAAATTAGAAAGCCCGGAACAAAGCCCAAGGGCACACAGCTAGGGACAAAGATGGATACTTAGGTTGTTATCCCAGTCTGTGCCAAATGCTTGCAACAGCAATTTGAAGGGGTCCCTGAGGCCCAGACTCTCATTTCACTGGTCCTTCCTTTCTCTTCACTCAGAGTTCATGTGCAGAGTAGAATTACAAGGAAGCTTTAAACCTCTTAAGTGCTTTGCAGAACAGCCAGTGGAACTGGAATGCGGGAGATGTCTAAGTGGTTTGTGAACCTGGCTAACCAGGAGCGGAGCAGTGTTTGTGAACAGCTCTTACTGCAGAGTGTGGGTCGCATTCCTCATTACTCAACCCCATAGCGGCTTGCAGGCTGCCACCTGGCAGATGTGTTCCTTTAGGTCAAGTCCTTTGCTGCTTAAAATACTAGATTCAAATCCTGGCTCCACCTGGCTATTCAAATCAAAGGCTACACCTTTTAGGAAGGTATGCTCTGTTTATTTCCATTTTAAGTGGCAAACAGGTCACCATCATGAAATAAGTTATAGGGTGCTGGCAAGAAAGTACCTCTGATGTGCACTAATATCTGCAATAACAGATAAAGGAAAATACCATTAACTGATTTAAATGTATTAAACTCTTCTCTAGGTATGTACCACGTCCAACTAAACAGGGTCTTCCCCTCTACTCAGGGTCCAGATGTGGCCTTTTGTTCCCCAATACAAGTAACAAATGACCATTTGCTCAGTTCAGGTTCCCCACTAGCATTGAATTTTCCTCTCTATTGAAAGGTAGTAAGTCCATAGATGTTAAAAAAAAAAAAGTTGAAAAGCACCCAACCTGTGGTGATAGCCATGTTAATCACAAATTAAATAGTGCATTTTAAAACAGAAATAAAATAAGAACTACCATTTATAAGGAGGAAGGTTTGCAGTAGAAGCTATTGCTGATCTGCAACGTAGCAGCAAATCAAGGGTAACTATAAACTTAAGCATTAGTCACCCTGAGTAACCCTGTAACCTCTCATTCACGCCTGTGCTAGCGACTTTACACATCACAATAAACAAGAGACACAAAGTTAGATAAGAAGAATTCCCAGGGCAGAAACTTTGGAAGGAGGAACAGGAATACGCAGTAAAAGCATATACCATAAAACACCGCCTAACTTTCCCTCCAAATTCACATGGTTTTCATCTCTCAGTGATGACCTTTTTTGTAAAGACCAGTCAGTTCTGAAATAATTCCTCCCAGGAATAAGCAGCAGAACAAAGACCCTGTCTGTGCCCTTGAGAATGGCTCTATGAATGGGAGGTATTCTCCAGATGATCTCCATCTCAATTTTTATTGCACGCTTGGGAAGCCTTCCTCAACATTCAGCCTTTTTGGTATTTCTTCCCATTATTTCTAGATATACTTCGCTAAAACTGTACATACAGCTGCAAAGCCTTGAAGAGTAAAACCTGTTTTCTGAGCCTCTTGACCCATAATATACTAAGTAATGAACAGCCATCTACTTAACCAGCTCCCTAGGAGAGAGGCTCTAATAACCAGAAACCCTAGTTCCCACTTTACATTGGGCCCATTTCCATCAACGTTGTCTGGTACTCAGCACGGTCATATGGGTGATGACAGTAAAATGGAGCACGTGAGATTTCTTGGTTAAAATACTATTTATTCGCTATGAAGCACTACGGAATAATCTGACCTTCAGGGAGATAGAAGTTAACAGGTGAATATTCCTTCCGGTCAGTGGAGAAA